GTCACCCTGGATAGAATCCAGTTTGTTGGAGCTTGCAATCCTCCAACTGACGCGGGCCGTACCCCTCTGGCGGAACGTTTCCTACGCCACTCTCCTCTGATTATGGTCGATTATCCTGGAGAAATCTCGCTCATGCAAATCTACGGCACATTCAACTCGGCTGTGCTCAAAATCATCCCATTGCTACGCGGATACTCGGAGGCACTCACCAAAGCCATGGTGCAGTTCTACTTGGAATCTCAACGCCGATTTACTCCCAAGATCCAACCGCATTACGTGTACTCTCCTCGTGAGCTTACACGATGGGTTCGTGGTGTATATGAGGCCATTAAGCCGCTTGAGACACTCTCCGTCGAGGGCCTGGTGCGTATATGGGCACATGAAGCTTTGCGTCTGTTCCAGGATCGACTGGTCGCCGAAGAAGAGAGAAATTGGACAGCCGATGCAGTCCGCCGCATTGCACTTGACAACTTCCCTACGATTGACGAGGAGCAAGCGCTGAAGGGGCCGATCCTGTTCTCGAATTGGTTGTCTAAGAACTATGTCCCTGTTGAACGAGAGCGACTACGCGACTTCGTTAAGGCTCGCTTGAAGACCTTCTGCGAGGAGGAGGTTGATGTTCCTCTGGTGCTCTTCAACGATGTTTTGGAGCATGCACTGCGCATCGACCGGGTGTTCCGCCAGCCTCAGGGCCACCTCATCCTCATTGGTGTCAGTGGAAGTGGTAAAACGACATTGTCTCGCTTTGTGGCTTGGATGAATGGTTTGAAGGTCTTCCAGATCAAGGTACATGGAAAGTATTCTTCGGAGGATTTCGATGACGACTTAAGAACCGTTCTTCGACGCGCGGGCTGCAAGGGCGAGCAAATCTGCTTTATCATGGACGAGTCCAATGTTCTTGACTCTGGCTTCCTTGAGCGCATGAACACACTGCTCGCTAATGCCGAAGTTCCCGGCCTGTTCGAAGGAGATGAGTTCTCGTCTCTGATGACCGCTTGCAAGGAAGGCGCTCAGCGCCAAGGTCTTCTCCTCGACTCTCAGGAAGAGCTCTACAAGTGGTTCACGCAGCAGATCGTCAAGAACCTTCACGTCGTGTTCACCATGAATCCCCCTGAGGAGGGTCTATCTTCCAAGGCTGCCACGAGTCCCGCCCTGTTCAACCGTTGTGTACTCAACTGGATGGGTGATTGGTCTGATCAAGCCCTCTTCCAGGTCGGCTCTGAGCTCACTCAGTCACTCGACTTGGACAAGCCAAACTTTGTTGCGCCTGACAGCATTCCTGTCGCTTATCGCGATCTCAGCCTTCCTGCGTCTCATAGAGATGCGGTTGTCAACTCGATGGTCTATATCCATTATTCATTGCAGAGGTTCAACCAGCGTCTGCAGAAGCAACAAGGAAAGACCACATTCCTTACTCCCCGTCACTATCTTGACTTTGTCGCTCAGTATGTCAAGCTCTTCAATGAGAAGCGGGAGGATCTGGAAGAGCAACAGCGGCACTTGAACGTCGGTCTAGAGAAACTCAGGGATACTGTCGACAAAGTCAGCGACCTGCGTGCTAGTCTCGCCCAGAAGAAAATGCAGTTGGAGAAGAAGGATGCGGAAGCAAACGAGAAGCTGCAACGCATGGTTGCCGACCAAAGAGAGGCAGAGCAACGGAAGGCTGTGTCTCTTGAAGTCCAGGCAGCCCTGGAGAAGCAGGAGAAAGAAGTGGCTTTGCGCAAGGAAGTTGTGCTCAATGACTTGGCCCGAGCCGAGCCCGCTGTTCTTGAGGCCCAGAAAAGCGTGCAAAACATCAAGCGTCAGCATCTTACGGAAGTTCGTTCTATGGGCAACCCGCCCGCTAGCGTTCGGCTTGCTCTCGAAGCCGTGTGCACTCTGCTTGGCCACAAAGTAGACAGCTGGAAGACGATCCAGGGTATTGTCAGAAGAGATGATTTCATCGCCAGTATCGTCAATTACGACAATGAAAAACAGATGACAAGAAATCACCGTCTCAAGATGCAGAACGAATTCCTTTCAAAGGAGGATTTCACTTACGAGCGAGTCAACCGAGCCAGTAGAGCCTGTGGTCCCCTTGTGCAATGGGTGGAAGCTCAAGTCAACTACTCCGAGATTCTCGACCGTGTTGGCCCGCTGCGTGAGGAAGTCGGTCAACTTGAAGAGCAAGCCCTGCAGACCAAGGCAGAGGCTCAGGCCATCGAGAATACCGTCCAGAACCTCGAGAGCAGCATCGCCACCTACAAAGCTGAATATGCTGCCCTCATTAGTGAAACCCAAGCCATCAAGACAGAAATGTCAAGGGTACAGTTTAAGGTCGACCGAAGTGTTCGCTTACTTGATAGCTTGTCGTCCGAGCGTACACGTTGGGAGGAGGGAAGCAAGTCATTCGAAACCCAGATCAGCACTCTCGTGGGTGATGTTCTGATTGCCGCAGCTTTCCTGGCTTATGCTGGTTTCTACGATCAACAATTCCGGAAGGCGATGATCGATGACTGGGTCAACCAACTGGCGCAATCAGGCATCAACTTCAAGCCACACAATCCGATTACAGAGTACTTGTCGAATGCCGACGAACGCTTGACTTGGCAAGGTCACGCCCTTCCAGTTGACGATCTCTGCACCGAAAACGCCATCATCCTGAAGCGGTACAACAGATATCCTCTGATCATCGATCCTTCGGGTCGTGTCACCGAGTTCTTGCAGAAGGAAAGCACAGATAGGAAACTCACGGTCACAAGTTTCCTGGACGACTCCTTTGTCAAGCAACTGGAGAGTGCCCTGCGTTTCGGTAATCCAATCCTTATTCAAGATGCAGAGCACCTGGATCCCATCCTCAACCATGTCCTCAACAAGGAATATCAAAAGACTGGTGGGCGTGTTCTCATCCAGCTCGGCAAACAGGAGATTGATTTCTCGCCTTCGTTTAAACTTTTCCTCTCGACAAGAGACCCCTCTGCGACTTTCCCGCCGGACGTGTGCAGTAGAACCACTTTTGTCAACTTCACCGTCACACAGAGCAGTCTGCGAACTCAATCGCTCAACGAAGTACTCAAGTTTGAGCGACCGGATGTGGACGCGCGGCGCACCGACTTGGTTAAGCTGCAAGGAGAATTCAAGATCCATCTCCGTCAGCTCGAGAAACGACTGCTGCAAGCATTGAACGAATCGCGCGGCAACATCCTGGATGATGACAATGTTATTGAGACTCTAGAGACCCTAAAGAAGGAGGCAGCAGAGATCTCCAAGAAGATGGTGGAGACCGAGGGCGTCATGACGGAGGTCGAAAATATCACCTTGAACTACAGCATTATCGCTCGCTCTTGCAGCGCTGTCTTTGCTGTATTGGAGCAGCTTCATCATATCAATCACTTCTACCAATTTTCGCTGCAGTACTTTGTGGATATTTTCCACTCGGTCCTCTATCAGAACAAGCGCCTTGCCGCGGAGAAGGACCACTCGGCGCGCGTGCAAATCATCCTCAAGGATTTGTTCGTTACGACGTTCCAGCGGACTTCCCTGGGGCTGGCTCAGAAAGACCGTATCACGCTGGCAATGCTTCTCGCACAAGCTGCTCCTTACCCGATGGACAAGACAGTCATTGATATCATTCTCGATGAGTCGGTGCAGGGTGCCGATCTGTCGACTGCTCCGGAGCTTAAAGAGCAGGTTTTGACCAAGATCTCGCACATGCCAATCTTCAAAGCGTCATTCGCCAATATCTCACAAGAACAATGGGGTCAGTTTTTGGTCGAGGAATTGGCTGAAAACTGTGTCCCGGTCGTTTGGGATGACAACACCGAGCAGCTCGACCGACTGCTTCGCTCATTGTTGCTGGTGAAGCTTTGCAGGCTGGACAGATTCGTACCAGCTGCCGAGCGTTTCATCGAGGCGGTCTTTGGCCGAGAATTCTTCGAAGGAAGTTCCGATTTGAAGGACGTTGTTGAGCAGGTTGCAGCAACCACACCAATCTCTCTTAGCTCGAGTCCTGGATTCGATGCTAGTTACAAGGTGGATGCTCTCGTCGAACGTATGCACGCAACCTGCGCCAATATTGCAATGGGATCCAACGAAGGTCTCGAGAGTGCCGACAAAGCAATCAGCAATGCTGCTACTGCCGGAACGTGGGTACTGGTCAAGAACGTACACCTGGCACCTTCGTGGCTTCAAAGTCTGGAGAAGAGGCTCGACTCGCTCAAACCCCACAAGGATTTCCGACTCTTCCTGTCAATGGAGTCCAGTCCTAAGATTCCAGTCAATCTCATCCGCGCTTCTCGCGTCCTGATGTACGAGCAACCAGCCGGTATTCGTGCAAACATGAGGGACTCGCTGTCTACTCTAATGGAACGCGCCGGCCAACCTCCCGTCGAGAAAGCGCGTGTCTATCTCTTGCTTTGCTTCTTGCATGCCGTTATTCAAGAAAGACTTCGTTATGCGCCTAGCCTGGGTTGGAAGGGCTTCTGGGAGTTTAACGACAGTGACGTAAGTGACCACTTTATCAAAACTCATCATTGCAATCCCACTAACAGAGTTCTTAATAGTACGAATGCTCGGCCCATATCATCGATGTCTGGGTGGAGACGGTTGCCCAGGGTCGATCCAACGTTGCACCCCAGAAACTCCCTTGGGAAATGATCCGTACCCTGATAACGGAGACATATGGTGGCAAGGTCGACGACGCTGAAGACTTCCAGGTGTTGGACAACCTTGTGAACAGCTTCCTCACTCCAGCTGCCTTCGAAGTGGACTACAAGCTCGTTTCTGGTGTTGAGAAGGACGAGTGTCTGGCACTGCCTGGAGAAACCAGCATCCGTGACTTTGTCGAATGGGTCAAACGCCTCCCTGAGCGAGAGCCACCCACGTACCTGGGTCTGCCAGCCAATGCTGAGAAGCTACTGTTGGTCGGGCATGGCAACAAGATGATCTCGGACTTGTCGAAGATCACTACTTTGTTGGATGAAGGGGAGCAGTTGATGATTGAAGGTTAAGTCTATTTCCAAACTTAGACCAAGAATTTTCTGTACTTATTATAGTCCCGCTGGCGGATTTCTTTTCCTCATTGTTTTGTTGTGTTGTGTTGATAGACTTGACTACGCAGCTTTCTTTCAATATTTGTCTTAGAACTTTCTTTCTGCCATCCATTCTTGTTGATAGTCACTATGTCCCAAGGTTGGATTCTCAATCAACTCCGTTCCAGTTCCAAACAGTCACCCCAACGACCTAGAAACCATACATGGTTTGACCCATCTGTAATAGGCAAACTTTAGTAACTGAACAACTCTAAGGACAAGTAAAGCTCACTCTTTGCAAGGCGTAAACGACCTTGAAAACCAGACATTTGTATTAGTATGCGCTCACATGGTTCCCAGCTCAACTATCAGACTCACATCTCGTGTTGTGACAACCTACTCGAAAAGATTAACAAGAGCAGATATAGTCGGTCAACTCGAAGAATCCTCCACTGCACAGACACAGACACACAAGGAAATAAATTCAATGCTACTAACCTTCCTATCGTGCCGATGAGTCTTCGAGGACTCTAGGACTTGCACAACTTGAAACAGAATCTACAGATAGGCGGTTAGTACATTTCCTTCTCCTTTGCTGCAAACACAGACTTGTTCTCCGGGGAAGGCCGAGGAGGTGCTTTCCTGGTGATTCGAAGGGGAAACCTTACCTCGCGCAGCCGTCCTCTTATGACGGAGCGTATCTCGGCGTATATGTCCGTTTTTATCCGGACTACGCCTCCACGACGGGCGAGACGGCTGTCATTCCGATGACGGTTCAGAGGGCTGTCTCATGGATGTTTCTCGGATGAGTAGCTTACCGGATAGCGGGTTTGGCTTGAGATCGTGGTTAGCGGGTTGGAGGTTCGGATTTGGCTTTTGATGGGAGGCTTACTGATACCCATGATATTGTCGCGGAGGAAGCTGTGAGTTCATGATTGGTGAGCAGAGGGGGATGAGGACGGGATGCCGGTCACAGTCCCGATTGTCGAGGTCATAGGCACTTACCGGCGCCGGTGGCCTTTTAGGAGGAGGCCACGAGTATTCGGGATGGCGGCTAGGTGAGCGACGTCCATGTTGATAGTAGTGATTTGAGGTTGTGGATGAATTGTTGACAGTTGCGAAAGTTCAAAGAGATGCTATGGAAGATTTCGTGAGAATGTTGGAAGAGGGTTCTCTGTTGGCAGTTGAAATAATTCTATGGTATAAATACTACGAGTTGTTTTAGCTTACTGTCTATTGTGATGTGCTACTGGAGATGGCGTTGAATGGGGTGAATCACTTACATTGAATAGCACAAACATGAAACCAGCATTGATGTGACCCCTAGATGTTCAGAAGAACTGGGATAATAGCATGGAGATTTGGCAAGTATGAATAGCATTAAAAGAATTCTTTATATGAGTAATTAGGGTCACGCAGGTTGCGCGATTTATGATTATCAACGAGAATGGGCAAAATAATACTCAAAACGCCACAGACAAGTTCCTGTCAGGTGTGATATATGTACGTAGAGTCATTCACGAGATGAACGTAGCCTCAGAGAACATAGAACCCTCCTCTGAGAACTCCTCGTCGCCGATCTTGAGCTTCAGAGACAGTTTCTCTTGGGGAGAATACTGGAAGATTGTTAGCCTGACAACCCGCAGGCTGATTGTAAGAAAACTCACCTGGAATATGTACGGCCGCGTCCCAGCAACACTTCCTGCGATGGTTTTGACGAAGCCTGGTACTTCAGCCATGACATCGACGCGGTCCAGCCGGTCACCAAGGGGCCCATCGAGCTCTGCGTGGACATCCTTCTCGTCCTTCGACTTGCCCTCCCAGACCCACTTGATGGAAGTTGGAGCAGACCAGTCGCTATCCGCGTCATGGGCCGACGCGGTGTGGGTAGCCGAGTTCGTTGCACCGGCATAGATAATCTCGTCATCCTTGACGATTCCACCGACATTGACGACCGTCGAGCCGTACGAGGGCGGTGTGGTGTACTCCATCATGACGGCAGAGTACGACGGGGTCTGGAAGTTGACAAAGTTCCATCGTGCAGCTATTTCCCGGCTCAGTATACTCATTCACGTTTATACCACAAGGTGAAAGGAACTCACCAGCGTGATGGGGCTTCATGCCCTGGATGGCATGAATGAACATTCCCCGACCGGTGAGGTCATAGGTCTTCTCCTTCGTCGTAATTGTACCCTCAACACGGCACCGAGGCCAGAAGGCATGCATCATGGAGCCCCAGGGGTTCGCGGGATCAGTCCCGAAGTAAGATGTGCCGTCCTTTCCTACGACAAAACCGGGGGCGGCGCGGGTGAAGGTCAGATTCACCAGGCTGTCCTCGTTGACGGCGGACTTGATGGTGTATGCAGTTCCCTCCTCGTTCAGCGTCAAGGCGAGATTGTCGGCTCCGAAGGACAGCATGTTCTCATCGAACATGTAGTTGTACAGGGGGTCGGAGTGCCAGATGTGGGGTTGATCGCCTTTGAGGTTAAAGATCTTTGAGTTGAATTGCGCAGTAGTGTGGATTCCTCTACACGAGTGTCAGGTCCTGAGCCAGCTATGATAACATGGTCCCATTGCAGTGCCGACAGGCGCAAAATGAGGCCCGAGGATTGCAAGAACCGGAACATTTCCACTCACGCGATGTTGGAGTAGATGACCTGCACCATGACCAGGGTGCCATTGTCGGCCATCACATAAAAGGTCTCAGTTTCAACATTGGTATATTGATAGGCGCGCCACCGCAGGTCGTCCTTGGTCAACTCGGTATAAGGGGTCTGTTGAGCTTGTTGGGCGACAGACTGAATGGCCTCGGGCCGTAGATGGGCTCCTGAGTGCCCGCAACACTTGCGAGGCTACATATAGCATGGTCAATCAGTATGGTCGATATTATACAGAAGAAACGAACAAGACCGGAGAGATAGCATACGTAGACTTGAGCCAGTTCATGATGGACAGATAGAGATGATGATTGTAAGTTAGGTGTGAGGGAGGGATGAAGGGAGAGCGAAATCAATAGTAGCGCGCGGGGCACTAATGGCGTCGATCGGCTGAACTACAGCAGCTGTATTGGCTTGTGAGAGATTGCAGAGGTGATATTGATGCTAATGGTGATAACTACAAAGCACTATAGACTATGACGACAATTTGCTAAGGTAGGACTCTCCTACGATCATGATATTTCAACGACATCATCGCCATGGCGTCCCACCTCGATCAACTTGAGCCATTTGAGCAGTCCAAGAATGCTCTTTTTTACCGTCTCTGCGGCCGGTCGGAAGATGACCCAGAGCGGTAAGAAACTCCGGCCCTGGGACTTATCCGAACCCGAACAAAACTCGGCCGCAAATAGTTGGCGGATCACTTCATTTTTTGTATACAGACATACTATAATTTCGTCTCTTTGCGGACATATCTCACAATGGCGAAGAAGGCATTGGCTAAAGATCAGATTGTCAAGCTCATTGTCGGCGCTGGACAGGCCAGTCCCAGTCCCCCAGTCGGTCCAGCCCTGGGTAGCAAGGGTGTCAAGAGTATGGATTTCTGCAAGGTACGCTCCTCTCTTCACGTCCTTCTTCGGCATTAAGGCGGATCTGGATGAAAAGGATGAATTTTGATCGTCTTACTAAACCGCCGCGCGCCCGTATAGGAGTTCAATGCCAGAACCGCGCACATCAACACCGGAGTCCCAATTCCCGCACGAGTCACAGTTCGCCCTGACCGATCATTCACCTTCGACCTTCGAACCCCAACGACGACATATCTCCTCCTGCAGGCTGCGAACGTGGAGCCCCGCAAGAACCGCATCCGCGGAGCCATGAAACCTGGCCATGAGACCATCGGCAAAGTGTCCCTGAAGCATGTGTACGAAATCGCCAAGATCAAGCAGTCCGAGACGAGATTATCGGGGTTGAGTTTGCAGGGACTGTGCAAGAGTATCATGGCGCAGGCAAAATCGATTGGCATTCAGGTCGTGCCTTGAAGAAGCACCTAGAAGACAGGACTGTTCATCTCAGTGTATACTTTTGCGATTCGTGCGACTGCAGCCATGCTGTTTTGGATTACGACACCGGCGTTGTTTAGGTTGGGCTTTTACAATGTGTACATTATAGGATTTGCATGCGATATAGAGCGTCGCCAAATACCCACAGCATTTGCACGCACTGAATAAATTGAGTTGTGGAACTTGAAGACCCGTTGCTGAGAAGCATTGATCGCGGTCAAATTGACAGAGTCTTACCTCGTGAGGTTACGTTGCTCTGCCTTTGCCTTGAGCTTTCGATATTCTGACAAGCTTATAAGCGGTGTGAGAAGGATATCACTTTTGGACCATCGCGTTCTGACGAGGTAGTTCATGGCATTCCCTCATGCTTGGGTGAAGATCACCAGCTCCAAGTGGCAATAGCAGGAGACAGTTGTGGAAGAAATCGACGGGGATGCTCAAGGACAACTGCTAGTCAGGTGTTGCCGACCAGATGAGACTCGTAGTTTATTTGCCTAGGTATCTAGCCAACAGATCATAGATGTAATCATCAATAGTGTCCAAGTGTTGCACATCGTCCTCCCTGAATTCGCTTGGCGAGAATGAAACTATGCAAATCCACGCAATCCCTCAACAACTGTTGTCTTGGCAGATTTCGAATAGGAAGAGAATAAGAAAGAAGACATGGTGGACGATGCTACCTTACGAGCAGATCCCCAGTAGAAAGTAAACGAGAGTTGTAATTTGCTCTTGTCAACTATCAAGTTCCGAAGTCGGTGAGTACGACTACAAGTCATTTCCCAATTCCCAAACCGGAAGTTTCTCTACCCCAGCATTCTTTGCCCCTCATACCTGCATTGTTCTGGAATTTCCAGACAATTGCTGACGAATTGCCGCCATGTGCATTCGGCTGCATTGAGACAATTTTGAATAGTGAATGCTCTTCCTCTAAGAAACATGAGTTGAACCGTTTTCAATAGCTCCAGTTCATTCAAGTCATACTTTCCAGCTCTCCACTCTTGTCAGACGACTCCCCAAGAATAGCAGTCTTGAAAGTGAAAGCCAGAACAATGATTATCCACTACGGAGTGAATTACTCTACCTCTTTGCATCATCATTGATGATCTCCATGCTAACCGGATTCAGTAGTGTCATAGTAAGAGTCTTGGCATCCGAATCGGGACTAGTTTTCTGGCCATGTCACTTACCCCACCAATATCTGTGGTTACCATGTTGGAGCTGCAAATGGATTGCTGGGGTATCTAACCATGCAGGTTTGTTGTACGTAACCTACCTTGGGCACTCCAGTATACAAGTCCTAGTCTGGAGAGAATCTCCAAATCAGACGTGGAAAGAAATGAGAGATGGTTACCTGGCTGAGATACTCGAACTTATATTGTAACTAACGACATGAGATCAGCATGCAGTTGGCAGGGAGATTACCGTCCGAACCAGGTACTTAGGTACCTTGTACAAAGGTACCTGTACCTTGCCTTTGCCTGTCTTCAATCCTTCGAATTAGCCGCTGCATGCACGATCCTTATCTAGTGAATCATTGATTCAACGCCAAACACAATCCAGAAAAATCTAGCGGGGTAGAAAGCAGCCATCCCGGTCCCCGCCAGTGCGGGATTGGCCCGAACTCGTCCTCACACAGTATGGCACTTGGCTTCCAATCGTGGGTGGTCTGGGTGGTTGGCTGCACGGATAGACGGCATCCGTCAGATTCCCCTAGCTGATGAACGGACTGGTTCTTGTCCTTGGGGTTCTTGGACCCGGCTGCAGATGGGGGCAGCTGACCTCGAACATGTAGGCCTGTGTGTGGTGAAGTTGGTGTCTCCACGGAGTATTCTTTAATATCTTAAAAGGTGCCAGGTGTATAGAGTAGAGAATGAATATCTGCTGCGTCATACAAGTTGAGCAGACTTCCTACTCCGTACGGTAGGTTGAGCATACTTGTCCACAATATTCCGAGTATTGTTACCTTAGTAACGATTCTCTTCGTTGCAAGACCTGTACTTAGCACGAGGAAAAGATCGATCAACTATTTGCTCTGCCAGCTATGACAGTATTCTGAGGGAAGGGGGGATATCCGCATATGAGCGTACTGTCTCCCGGTGCTTGGGCCAAACAAAGCTGTAATATGATGATATTTTCTTCGCCGAGTCCCAAGTCACCATCTAGATATGTGACAGCTAAACTAGCATATTAGTCTTTATTAAAATAATCGTTGATGTCTTGTCTTTTCATAGTAAGAATAATATGGAGTACATACAAACATAGTCGTAGTAATGTCCAGGCGCAGAGTCCAGCCCACCTTTCTCTGTTGTTCCGTCGCCGCTATTGCCGCCGCCGTCCAAGCCCAGAGTCGACGGACTCTTGAAAGTGGCTCCAAACTCTCTATCCAAACCCGTTCTTACTCTTCTCCCTCTCTTCGTTCTCCATTCCCCATTCTCCATTTCAGCGTTTATTCGTCCAAGGTAGACATTTCTATTCTACCCAGCAACTACGACTTGTGGATCTTCCTATCTTAATCCTTTGTCGTCTTATCTTCTACCCAGTCCTACTACTTTCAATCTCATCGTCACCTTTCTTCCCAAACTTGTTCGATTCTTCATCTTCTTTCTTTTAATTCAGAGCAGTGGTGATTAATAATTGACTCCATCCCATTAGGCTCCAACTGGGACGGTTGAGTAACAATCGGTCTTCGCCAAAAGTTTTGCTCCGTCTTCCATACGAGATTTACCTCCCCGCGCTCACTCCTTACAATTCCCACGTTATCTAGTCCTCTACGTCCTGTGCAGGTTGACCCCGCAGGTACAGTGTACAGTCGCAGCAGGAATTACGATCTGAACGACAAGGATTTGTCATTTCAAAGTTTAAACCAACAGGTCGCAACTGCGGAGGGGCATGCGTTCCACAGCGTGGTTTTGACGAGTCCGTATGACGTCTGGAGCGACCGAGTTTGCCGGTACAGCCAAAAACATGGGTCCCAGTAAGCAATGCTCTACCTTTTCGCCTGCAACTCATTCTCTAACGCAGTCAACTTCAATATTAGCATCTCAGTCAGGTCAGGAGCACACCCCTATGGCAGCTGGCCAGGCTACGGGTTCGTCCAACAGTGAATATATGGCCAAGACACAACCGGGTCAGGTTCGGTTTTCCACCATCACCGAAGAAATCGAGCCGCCCGACTCTTCAAACGCTCCTCGATCACCCGAACAAGAATCCGCGGTGCCTCCAAAGGAGAACGATGATTTACAAAGACTAGCAGAGAGCCTCCAAAGCTCTCAGTTGCAGGAGACTCGATTGCGAAACTTTTCTTACGATCCTGTTTCTCTTCCTTCGTCAAGGGTATGTGGCATGCGATCGGTCAATGTTGGCTTTCGATATTATTGTATCACTCTACAAAGCCTAGCAGTCGATATAGACTAACACTGCGTCACTTCACAGGTCGCGTCTCGAGAGTCAAGCGATCGCAGCGCCCGGGAACCTAATGGCTCCTCGTTGCCGTCTCCCCGTGCTTCTCCGATGCAATCGCCTCCTCTTACACCTGCAGCTACTAATTCGCGTGAGGCCACACATCAAGGCGTTCCTCCTAACACCAATGTCACGAATAGAACCGCTGCTGCAGCCATGACTCCGCAAACATCGCCTCCAATAGTGGCTGAGAAAAAGGGGGTACCGCAGAGCGCGCCCTCGTCTCGGCCCTCTTCCACCGACCAACTGTCCAAGCAGATCGATGTTTCGAAAACGTCATCTCATCCCTTGAACGGGCCCAAGCATCGGGCACAATTCTTTCTCGGTCCCGGGGCTGAACCGAGCTCGCAGGAGGAGAGCCCGCCAATGACACCACGAGACTATACCCCGCCGGGCGCCATTACACCTGTGGGAGAGCCGAACGACCCGTATGCCCGCAGCAAGCGACCACCTCAGGCTAAGAACCTTGCCCAAATCGATCAAAGGTTCATCTTTGGAGGCCGTGACTCCAAACGCCGAAGCCACACCACGCCAACGTTCGGTCGTCCCGGAACCCCCGCTCCTCCAGTGCTGGCGATTTGAAATCTAGCGACAAGCGGAGCGGTATCTTCGGCAGCAAGAAAGATCTACGACAGAGTAACAGTGGTGAAAGCAAACACCACCATGGCCACATGGCGGAGCTCAAGCGATTCTTCAAAATGGGTCACCACAAACATAAGCGAGGCGATTCTCCCTCTTCTATCCCGAAGCGGTCGAGCCGCTCTTCTGGGAAGAGCACGCCCTCAGAAAACGTTCCTTTCGCCGATGACCACGGGCTCAACACCAAATACGGAAAGCTCGGGAAAGTTCTGGGCTCCGGAGCCGGCGGTTCTGTTCGGTTATTGAAGCGCAACAGTGATGGAGTGACTTTCGCCGTGAAACAATTCCGAGACCGTCATTCCTGGGAGACGATGAAGGAATATTCCAAGAAGGTGACAGCCGAGTTCTGTATTGGGTCAACACTGCACCACGGCAACATCATCGAGACACTCGATATCATTCAAGAGGGAGATCACTGGTACGAGGTTATGGAATACGCGCCCTATGACTTGTTTGCGATCGTCATGACCGGGAAAATGTCCAAGGACGAAATCGCATGCTGTTTCAAGCAAATCCTCAGTGGTGTGGCCTACCTGCACGGCATGGGACTGGCACATCGGGATTTGAAGTTGGATAACGTGGTGGTCAATGAGCACGGCATCATGAAACTCATCGATTTCGGCAGTGCGGTTGTCTTCCGATATCCCTTTGAGAATGACATTGTTCCTGCTTCTGGTGGGTTATTCCAACGCGGATCTCTTACTTGGACCAGAGTAGCTAACTTGTTTTGTGCTACAGGTATTGTTGGATCAGATCCCTACTTGGCACCCGAGGTGTACGACGAAAAGAAGTATGACCCGCGTCCCACCGATATATGGTCATTGGCTATCATCTTCTGCTGCATGACACTGCGCCGATTTCCATGGAAGCAACCCCGCGTCAGCGATAACTCCTATAGGCTCTTTGTCTCGACGCCAACTCCCGGAACTCCTGTCCCGGACGCTGATCCGAAGCGTCACCGCGCCATTAAATCAGCTCCAGACCTGTCGTCTATTGATAACGAGAGCAAACCGGCGCCGCCTGCGGAGGAGAAGAACGGATCATGTGAGCCTTCGGCACAATCGGACTCGGAAAGGAAACAAGCCCCAACCACCTCCACGACGAGTGACGAGAATCGCCCTCCTGAGTGTTCTAAAGATAAGGTCAGCGGCAACCTCAGCAAACCGACTCGAACAACGAGCAAGGAAGCGCCGCCTCTCCCAGCTTCAGCGCAGTCATCGAGTCAGCGTCAGGAGGTCATCAAGGGTCCTTGGAGGCTCCTACGTATATTGCCGCGCGAAAGCCGATATATCATCGGCCGCATGCTCAAGGTGAACGTGAAGGAGCGGGCCACCCTCGAAGATGTTTTGACCGATGAGTGGGTTCGAAACATCCAAGCTTGCCGGCAGGAGGTAACGGGCGAGCTTATTAAAGCTTGCAACCATACCCATGTCCTGGAACCCCCTCGCCATCGCAGCCGGTCCAGAGCAAAGCCACCAACAAGCCCAGTAACAAGGCGAAATAGGCCTTCCGTCTCGCTTGTCCCTACAAAATGTTTCTGGTCTTACAGGTGGAATGATTGCTCCCGAATTTTGGATACGATCTGTCTCTACCACCATCCATCTTTCCTCCTTTTATTCACTTAATCCGCCATTACGATAGCCAAGGGCCTCTCATCTGAAATTCTATGCCTTACACTTCGCTATGGTGCCGGGTGGAGCTAATACATCCTGTGTCTGCCCTTGCCGCCGTTCTTCGTCTCTGAATACGTGACTGTGCCACGGGAGCTTATCACACTTCTCACCCCCTCATCAGACTCATCCGTTCTATGTATCATTGTATTGTTGATCTCAGCGTTGGAAAGAGGGCTTAGTGATTATGTTTACCAGGCGTTGTGGTTTTTTCTTCCTGGGGTGGACTGTTGAGCAACATCCGTCTCGTGCAATAGATGTTTATTCGTTAGAGTTTTTTTTTTTTTTTTTTTTTTTTTCCCATTATTCTCTTTGATTGTCGTCGTCAAACTGAGGTTGTGAAGGGGCTGTTAGAGTGTGTCTGGTTTTTGCCAGGAATCCTGTCATTCTGTTTATATTACCAGTCTCTAATTGTGCATTCCCAGAGACAAAGTGATTAAGTAGATATTATAAATCAAAAAGAAATGTGAAGGCTGTTCATGAGCTCTTCAATTGAATGGTTTGTGATGATCATCTTCCAAACAGGCTATTGACGTAGTTGGCGGAGATAGCGGACTTTACTTTATGCCGACTCCCACAGTGGGCGATTATCGGAGATGGTCGAAATCTGGAGCTTCATTTTGACGCTCACATTCTCGGTTTCTACTTCCTGCAGCATTACAACATTTTGACGACTCGTTTTCAGTCATTACCCTCAATTAGCATCCTAAAATAACCTTCAATAGATTGGTTAGCATAATTACACAGCACAAACGCCGCTTTGGTCCGACATGTTGAGGTAGAGCGTGACTCAAGAACTGCATCCTCCAGCTTCCTTTCTACCATGGCCCAGCAATCAGAAGCGGGGCCATTGGTCTCCCTATGGACGAGATCCCTGATTGTAAGACTGATGTCTTTTCTATCCTTGTCTCCTAAATATTATCTGTCAACTCTTTCCTCCGGTGGCAGTGCTAACCTCTTCTCTTTCCTGCGCCTCTAGTCCGGAGCAGTGGCCGGCCTCACAGTCGATTGCTCGCTATATCCCCTCGACACAATCAAAACTCGTCTACAAAAAGCTAGACGCCATGCTCCGAGCACACCAGCGCCCACCCTGTCGCTAAGACAAACCATCCGCGGCATCTATGCGGGTCTCCCGTCCGTGCTGTTCGGCTCCGCCCCTCCGCTGCATCCTTCTTCATCGTCTACGACGGCGTCAAACGCTCTCTCCTCCCTCCCTCCGGCTCCGACGCGGCCGCTCCGCGCTCCCACATCGTCCTCACACACTCGCTCGCCTCCTCGATGGGCGAGATCGCCGCATGCGCCGTGCGGGTGCCGACGGAGGTGGTCAAGCAGCGCGCACAGGCCGGTCTCTTCGGTGGATCCAGTCTGCTCGCACTCAAGGACATCCTGGCGCTGCGGCACCCGGACCCGACGGGGAATGCGAAGCGCGGGTACGGGCAAGTCGTCCGGGAGCTGTACCGCGGGGCGGGGATCACGATCGCGCGGGAGATCCCCTTCACGGTGCTGCAGTTTACCATGTGGGAGTCGATGAAGGAGGCGTATGCCAAGCGCGTGTTGGTGCCGTCGGCGGAGTCGGGCGCGTTGAGTCAGGTTCCTGCGTCGACGAGCGCGATGTTTGGCAGTGTTGCGGGGTCGATTGCGGCGGGGTTGACGACGCCGTTGGATGTTATTAAGACGCGGGTGATGCTGGCGCGGCGGGGCGAGGGCGGCGCCCGCGTGCGCATTCGCGACGTCGTGCAGGAGATCTCTGGGGAGGGATTCGGGGCGTTCTGGCGCGGGATCGGGCCGCGAGTGGCCTGGATTGGGATCGGGGTGCGGTGTTTCTGGGGAGTTACCAGTGGGCGTGGAATACCCTTGAGCGGAAGAGGGAATCGCAATAGAATGTATATCTATATATCTACCGGAAGTGTATATGGCAATGTATGTACAGTAGACGGGCGCAATTGCAAATCAATCTCATCCATCCTTCTTTATCATCCAGCTCAGCGCTCGGCACTGCTCCTCCGGCAGCAGCCTCTCCATCGTCTGGGGACTCAAGAACTCGTGATCCTCGAATTCAAACCCAGGGACAACGGTCTGGTCTGGCACGTCAATATCCTTTCTTGCCTTCTATATCAACACGCACTCTCCAACTTACCTCCGTAATCAACAACCCCTCGCTGTCCCCCTCCCCGCTCTCCGAGGGGTCATCCGGCAACAGATAACAAGCTTTATACTTCCCCCCTCCACAACCCACTGCATCCTCTCCCCCTTGTCTAGATCCGGACCGACCACGAACGAAGTAACAGGCGCAGTGCCATTGTCGGTCGCCAAATCCGCGTGGATAATGACGTACCGCGCCCGGCCGCGGTGGAGGCTGTGAATCGTGCGGCTGCGGTTTAGGTGGAAGAAGCAGGTTGGGCAGTCGGGGGTGAGATGGTAGTAGATTGTTGAGGAGAGGGAGCGGGTGTCGCTTTGGTCTTTGCTGTGGGGATTGGGGATGCGGAGCGGGTGACGGTCGATTTCGGCGTAGTAGCCTCCTTCTGGGTGAGGTTGGAGATGGAGGGTTTGGATGGTTGTTTGGATGGATTTGGATTTGGATTTGAATTGGGAGTGGGGTGGTGGAAGATGATGGGTGGAAGATTGGTTTGACGGAGGTGATGGGGATGTCCATGTTATCTGGGGGTACTTTGTATAGAAAGATTGGTAGAACGAGATGTCTACCTCGGTGGTTGTTGTTTATAGATAAAATGTTATACCTTGGAGTTACACAGCGCCATCAAGATGATATCAGGGTGGATACCAAGTTGGGGACTGTGGCTCTGTGCTCTCTAGCCATCATGACAGTTGACTGTTGACTGTTGAACAGTGTTACACGGCACAGGACTCGAGATGAGACTGAAACTGAAACATCAGCCTGGGTAGACTCGAACATATGGTGAAACAACAACGCTGATGCATACATAACCTACGCGATAGATAGATCCATCTGTTCCTGATGTGTTAGGAACATAATGAGAGGCCATTGTGGAATCGGGCTATTATCTAGACTACTCTGGTATGGAGACTTAAACTTAGCATTCTGGCTTACTGGCTAAAAAACATACACACAGACATATTAACAACCAGTTATAGAACGCTTTTCTTTGTTATCCCGTGTCCTCTCCTCTCTCTCCTCATTTCTCTCTAGTCTTAGTTTACTCCTCTTCTCCTCCCTCATCCCTCCCTTTGTGCTATTTTATCCATTAATCTAATCTTCACTCTTTCTTTGCCACTGTTAATATCATCATCTATGCCCTTAGATGCATAACACTTAGTACCCCACATTCTCTGCACTCCTTGTGTGATCGTCCCCCGAGCTGTCCGGCGGATCACCACTAACCAACCACTCCGCAATCTGCATCGTCTCCCCCGTCTCCGCAGCATTTCTCCTTGCCTTTCCATCATCCATCTAGTGCATCGGTCTGTCTCCCTGCTGCATGGCACGGAAACCAAGTCATCAGAGGGTCACTTATGGTATGTTTTCTTTTTCTGATCCTATCTGTCTACCCTATGACTATCGCATTGCCGACCCCCACGGCTTATCTAACTGCGGCTGTTTAGTGCTCCCTCTGCCTGATGCGCCGGGTGGTCACCGACTCGGAGTAAATAGCTTGACCGTTGATGAAGACAATTCTATTCTGTGAGCACGCCCTGTCTACTGCCCTATATGATAGTTTCTTCGAAGGTCCGCGCTGTTTTTTTGTTTGTACGCTGCATAGCTGACTGCTGTCCTCCAAGGTATTCCGCTGGCCGCGATGGAGTTATCTGCTCATGGGATCTCAATCTCCCTCTCTCCGCACCTAAATCCTCTCTAGCTGTAGGCGCTCAAAAGTCAGGACCGACTACCTTCAGACATCAAGTGCAAGCCCACAGCCATTGGATCAACGACATCGTCTTAACACAGAATAATTCGGCCCTCGTTTCAGCTTCGTCCGATACCACCGTGAGACTCTGGCGACCACATTCGGAATCCACCGAGCTGCCATCACCCATTGGCAAACATGCAGATTACGTCAAGGCGCTTGCGACACCCGGAGGTCACTCAAGTTGGGTGGCCTCGGGAGGACTCGATCATAAGCTTTACCTGTGGGATCTGAATGGTGGCGGCGAGGTTCTCAGCATCGATGCTTGCGGAGGCGAGAGCACGGCCAAGGGTTCTGTTTACGCGCTGGGGGCGGTCTCGTCGGTCCTCGCCAGCGGTGGCCCGGAGAGCGTGGTCAGAGTTTGGGATCCAAAATCTGGAAAGCCAATCACCAAGTTCGTCGGGCATACAGACAACATTCGAGACATCTTAATCACTCGCGACGGAGATAGGATCATGACTGCCTCTTCAGATCAAACAATTAAGATCTGGTCTCTCACAGCAGGAAGATGCATGCACACATTGACGATGCACAACGACAGCGTCTGGTCGCTCTACTCCAACCATCCACAGCTATCGGTCTTCTATTCGAGCGACCGTTCTGGCTTGGTCGCCAAGACTGATACAAGGCACTGCTCGGATGTGGATCAGGGCATTTGTGTCGCAGCGTTGCAAGAAAACGACGGCGTCGTCAATGTGGTCGCTGCCGGTGACTACATCTGGACTGCCACCCCCAAGTCCAGTATCAACCGCTGGTACGATGTTGATACCACTGCCGAGATTGAGTCTCCCTCGTCAAGGGGCCCCGCAGGCTCTGATGCCGCCAAACCTGAGGAGTCGTTGGCCCAGAAAGGTCGGCGGACAAAGATACCGTATGAGTCGATTCTACTGTTGACAAGCACATCAACATTCCCCAAGTCACGAGTACCAGAAGGTACATCTGAGAGCTTGCCGACGAGTGGACCGCAGCGCTCACCCGATCCAAACTTGGACGATGATCTGGATCTCAATCTACCAGTATATTCGTTACCCGAAGAGACGATAGAGGGCCAACATGGTTTGATTAAGCATTTCATGCTGAACGACAGAAAGCGGACGCTCACGCAAGATTCCGCCGGCGAGGTCGTTCTTTGGGATCTTCTGAAGGTATTACTCTCGCCATCCACCCGACAAGGCTTCTTCTGACCCTTGCAGTGCAAACCAATACAATCGTTCGGCAAGCGCCATATGGACGATGTCGCGTCGGAGATCAATACTACAGAGAGCATCGCTCACTGGTGCACGATTGACATTAGGACAGGACGATTATCTGTCATCCTGGAGCTCAATCGCTGCTTTGATGCCGAGGTCTACGCGGACGAGGCCGACCTCCATGATTACTCACAGATCCGGGAAGACCAAAGAAGTGGGTGACTTTCCTTTCCTCGACCCTCGGGTATTCGATTTCTCTTTTCTCTTGTCTGATCTGGCTGACCTTAAACAGTAAATCTTGGAAAATGGGTTCTCCGTTGGCTTTTTGCTCCCCTTGTGGATGAAGAGATCAAGCGAGATGAGCAGTACCGTGCCTCGGCCATTGCAAAGGCCGAAGAGTTGGCCAGACAGACCATGTCGAGTGTCACCGCACCGATGGACATTCCATCACCGAATGCAAAGAATCTAGGAATACAGATTCCTTATGATCCATCTTCTCTGCCCATGCGCCCTGGAAATGAATCGTTCGGAAGTCCTACGACGCCTGGTTTCGGAATCCATCTTGCCACCACTCCAGGTTCTCTGACGTCTTCCATGCTCAACACTCACAACAATCACTTTGGCACCTCGCCGGGTGATGTCGGTGATCATCTGGCGTCGCCTCATACTGACTTAGTGAGGAATTCCATGTCAGACAAATCCGATTATTTCTCGTCCGCGAGACAACAAGGCTCAAATGCGGTGGATGCGACGACACCCGGGGATCCTACTCCAACCGCTCTGCCTCAATCGCCCGCCGAGCCTGATAAAGAAGAGAGGAAGAGAACTGGATCAATCTTTGGGAAGAAATTCCGAATGGAATTCCCCAAGAAGCTGGGTAGGACGTCCACAGAGGTCAAGCCTCAGGTGCAGGAGGAGAAGGCAGAGGAGCCGGAAGAACCCTCGGCAGTCAAAGAAGAGAAAGTTTTTGATAGCAATCTATGCGGTTTCATCGAGAGAATTCGTCATGAATATGATGAATTCCTCGCGGCGAATCCGGGACAGGAGCTCGTGTCAGCCATCACGCCAAGTCCCGATAACGAGACGCCAATGCTAGATATCCCGCCTCGTACTGCCGTTTTCATTCAGGAGGAATCCGGAGATACCGCTGTGGCCTCGGATCTTTACAGAGGCAGTGTTGGTAGCATCGGGCAGGAAATTGACAGGCTTGAGAAGTCGATACCCATGTGGCTGGCTGAACTACTCTTGAAGGTGAGATTTCTTCAGCGATTCGGATTTTGAAAATATGGCTAACTCTTGGCAGAACCAAGTCCCTGTCAAGGAACCCGTCAAAATCGCCTTTATGCTGAAACCGTATGACGACCTGCTGCCGCCAGTATCCAAGCCAGATCTGTATGTACAATTTCGGGGATTCTGTTGTGCTCTGCTAACAATATACCCACTGTAGGTCGGTTCCTAACGGTAACGGTGTCAACAATTCTCGTCTGAATGCGAACCGTATGCTGCGTGCGAAGAAGATTCTCGCTTACGTGGCAGAAAGAATTGACCCTTCATACTCCGAAGACCCGCAGGAAGGCGCACTGAAGCCGGAAGAGTATCTGGAGCTCTACTGCCAGAAGATGGTGTGTACATGTCGACACAAGACAACCTCGTAGCGTTTGCTAACTTGAACCAGCTCATCCCACCCAATATGACTCTGGCAACCATCCGTGCTCACATCTGGCGATCATCAGGCGATATGGTTCTATACTATAGAGCCAACGGAAAGAAAGAGATACCAATGCCCGGGTCAGGTAGAGAAGGCGACCAAGGCAGTCAGTCGGCCGGCGCAACGAATACGCCACATCTGTCGGAGACAGCAGGCACGGCGAACGGGGATGGAGAAAGTGCTCAGACCAGCAGCGTCCATTCTCAGACAGCGTCTGGATCTGCTTCTGTGTCTATCCAAAACTCGTGAACTCTACGACTGGTCGTGCCGTTTAGGATCGAAACTTATGAGGCATTAAGGCCGAGAGCCGTGCTCCGACTTTCTTCTCTTTAACCCTTCCCTGTTATACTATTAATACTCTGTGTCCATATTGCACACCCGGAGTTTGGGATCCGTCTTTACCTTCGTGGCCTCCTTCTGGCGGGCTGTTGTGGCATTTGTTGTGGGAATAGCCCGCCCCAGACGTGTAGAACACCATGTACTCGATCAATGAGATTAGCGATTTGCAAGAACTTAGTGAATTGATGTGATCCCTGATAAGTTTAAGCGTAGAGGTCTTCAGCGCTCACAAAGCGACCAAATATATATCGTCCGCCGACGCCAAGAACCACCAATACTTTCTCTCTCCGTCATCCACCTTTCCCATCAACATCAACATCAAACAACACACATCGTCCTTAAGTTTAGCCAGAATGATAAATGGCTGCATCATGTCTTTCCAGACAACTTTCTCACAAAGCAATCACAGCTTCCCAGTTCTTCGAGTATTTCCAGCGAGCATGGTGCGAATCGCGCCTCTCATGGGGCGGACGACAGGCCAATCGCCATCTCCCTCGTAACCTAGGTATGTCAGTTTGTTTGCATCCTCGCTGAGCAATCACGGCCACCGTCGTATTCTAATTGTCTGACAGGTTTGGCCGTCAGCGGCGGCGCAGACTCTATGGCTCTGGCCTTCCTCTGCAAGCAACTACAAGAACAGAACCTCGTAGACGGGTTGACCGTGACAGCCTTTGTCGTCGACCACAAAGCCCGGGAGGAGAGCAGCCGGGAAGCCCGAACTGTAGCTACATGGCTGAGTGATATGGGTAAGCCAGACGATGATACTGCCAACTAGCCATGGACTAACAGCCGCACAGGCCTGCAAGCACAAATTCTCGAGCTCGAATGGCCACAGGGTAGTAGTGTTTCCGCGTTCGAGACCCATGCCCGACGTCTGCGGTTCCAGGCTCTCGGCATAGCCTGCCGAGACAGACGCATCAGCGCCCTCCTCATGGGCCACCACCAAGATGACAATGTCGAGACGACCCTCTGGAGGCTGTGTACCGGCGCCCGAGGTGCCGGCCTGGCCGGTATCCCGCCCATCGCCCGGATCCCAGAGTGTCATGGTCTCTACGGCGTCTCGGAGAGTGGCTCGTCGGCGTTCCTCCGGCCTCGCGACGACAGAGCAGGCGCACCCTCTGCTCTCTTCGGGAACACGACCGCCCAGCAGGTCCAGGACAAGGTCGAGGGCAAGGACAAGCAGCGAGGCTTCCCCATGGCCACCGGCGGCATTCTCCTCTGCCGGCCCCTCCTCGCCTTCCCCAAGGCCTCCCTCCTCGCAACCTGCCATCAACACCGCATCCCCTACGTCTCAGACCCGACAAACTTCGATCCAACCCTCACCCCGCGGAACGCCATCCGCAGCCTCCTGTCCCCGTCTTCCCCGCCACTCCTGCCGCGCGCCCTACAAGCCCCTTCAATCCTCTCTCTCATCAAATCAAGCCACGCTCTAATCGAGGACACCCTCGCCCACTCCAACGATCTACTATCGCATTGCCGCCTCCTAAACTTCAACCCAAGCACAGGGACAATGCGCATCCGATTCCCCAGTCCACAACCTCAACCGCAGCCGCAGCCGCAACCTCAACTAATCCGCAGCCCTCACTTCCAAACCCAGGTCCAATCTCTCACCCTCCGCCGCATCACAGAACTCATCTCCCCACACCCGCACAACCACTTTCCCCTACCTAGCTTCGAGAAGTTCACCGCAGAAGTATTCCCCTCCTCATCCTCGTCATCACCAAAGACCCGCCTCCCCTTCACACTGGGCGGCATCATGTTCCACCCTCTCCAACCCACGTCCACGTCCACCTCAACCTCAACCCCAACCATACTGAAAATGAGAATACATGGCTCCTCACCCGCCAACCATACATGCGCAACCGAGCCCCCTCACTAACCCTCGAACTCCCCGGCCCGGAATCAGAGGGCATCTACTCGCCCTGGAAACTATGGGATAATCGGTACTGGGTGCGGGCCGCCGTAGTCCCGGACAAGGGGGGACTAGACCCCGACATGCATGCGCACTACACGCAGTCCGAGCTCGATGAGGTCCGTCGGTGCTATGACGCGGAGGGGTTGTCGCTGGTAGTGCGGCCGCTGCGGCAGTCCGATTTGCAGGCCATTCGGGGCATGGCTGATGGACAGGGCCGTGGGAAGAAGCATCAGCATCCGGCTCTGGCAGCGCTGCTGAAGCGCCTGGCACTCGAAGCTCCGGGGCAAGCTCGCTTCACCCTTCCTGTGCTAGTTGCTCAAAAGGGCTCTGGTGGCAATGCAGATCAAGTGCCGCTGGCGCTTCCCACGCTATCTTGCAGGTTACTTTCCGCTTCTCAAGCGCAAAGTCTACTTCAAAGTGCAATGCCTTGGACCGTATGTTGGCAATGGATGTACAAGATGATCGATCAGGATCCTCTCAGATTGATGGGTTGGTTATGAAATCTTGCGCTATCTGGACTATACACATACATAGACTCTCGTTTAAGGTAGCGTTACCTAGTCAGGAGAATGAGTGAGGGGAAACCACGGAAGGCTACATTAAGCATATTAGATGGGATATTCTCCGTGCGACTGAGTTAACAATGGTTGCCGAAGCAGGGCGGACCTGCCCTAGTGCAAGCAATGCATAAACATGGCGGCCCACCGGAAAAAGAAAGCCCTGTGAGTCTGACGAGACACGTGTGATACAAGAAGACGGAATCATAGACAGGATCGAGGTGGAGTCCCCCAATAAAAAAAACAAAAAAAAAAACATGATATTCTCCGGAGCTGGCACGGCGCCTGGGCTCATTTCAACGAGGTTGCCTTGACGCCATGCGTAGAGAAATGGTGATCCAAAAGAGAAAATACGAACTGAGAATGATTGCTTTCCGCTCAGATGCATGAGATCATGTCCATTGCAAAGAAATAGTTTTGTGCCGAGTAGAAGAAGGAAAGATAGCTCGACGCCAAAGCCTGGGGAAGTGGCCAGCCACGAGGCACCTTGGGCCGGCATTGAAAATGTCTCGTAAATGTCTCGATCGTTCATTCGCTCGCCTTTAACAAAGCCACGGCTGCTTGCTGTGCCCGTAGTCCGCCAACTTCCCGTTTCAACCTAAAGTTCTCCTTCTTGAGCCTTCCAATCTCCTCCAATGCCTCGGACAATTGTGTCCGGAGGGCCTCTTCGACGCTTCCAGATCGGACATCTCGCACAATTTTTCCCAGCTCCAGATTGAAACGATCATACAGCGCCTCATTCTCCGCGCTAGCCTCACGGTACAGCTCATCTAATTTCTTTGCTCGCTTCTCACTAACAACCAGAGACGATTCCAGATCTCTCTCGATTGCAGCAGTGCGGCTATTCAGCTCTTGCGAAAGCACTTCAAACTTCGACTCTAGATTGCCAATATGATTGAGAAGAGCTGAATCACCAGCTGCCGACAGAGATGGTGCGTCTACCGACCCAGGATTCTGTTCGGCATTCTTCAATTGTTGCGGCGCTGCGACGTTCAAAGCTTGCAGCTCCTGGCCAATCAAAGTCAATTCCTCCTTGAGCCCCAATTGTGCAGAATGTTGTAGCCTCTTCTCGCTTTGGAGACGATCTCGAAGCTGTAGATATGTTAGGCGAAAATGCTCTCAGGGAAATGATGGAATAGAGAGACGGAATTATAGGCGGCCTGGCAGCAGACGGAAGTCGGGGAACCATACCTTTTGGGGGCTCTGCATGCGCAGCTTCGGGGTTCTTTGTGAAGAGATCAAAGTTTGCAGGCGTCTGGGGTCAGATGCGTTAACCAGCACTGGGCGTTCCTTGAGCCCAACAGTTCGTGATGATGGTATGCTGAGTGCCCGCAATCTTCTCTTTTGCTCTTGAGTGGGAGAAACAGCAAGGTCACTTTTCTTTCGTGGAGGTCGGTCCGTTCGACTCAAAGTTGGGTCAATGTTCTCTTTGCGGCTTGGGGTAACTGGACGAGTCGGTGATCGTCGGCTTGGCGAGGTCAATCGAGAAGGGGAGTTGCCTTTGGTGGGCGACGTGCTTCTGTTCGTAGAATCTGTGCCATGACTTGTCTGCGGTCTGGGCTGTGTAGTAGGGGTCGCCAATTCGGTTTCGGAACGATTGGTTGACGATACAGGAGTGGCAGGCCGCGGATCCTGGCGAGGCGATACAGCAGACGTGTCCGTTGATGCCGTCCCGGGCCTCAGATCTGATAAAGAGCTCCTTCTCCTTCTCCGAACCTTGACTACTCCGTTCGTCGAGATACCGCGGATCGAGGATAGAGATGGGGGCTGCCCTTGAGAGCTACCTGGTCGTCGCAGGTGTTCCTGCGATGAAGCTGCACTGGGACGGTCGCGCGAGCCAGGTCGTAAGTGCAGTGCCAGCCCAGCGTCTACGTCGATCGACTTGGAACGCAGCAACGAGCCTCGAGGGGTACCGGGTTCCGAGTCGCCAGGGTTTTTGCTCTTGCTGAGAGTCCTCAGAATCGACGAGACCTTGCTTTCTCCCTCATTCTTGGAGCTCTCTCGATGCAGGCTGAAGCCAAAACGTTTCCGGAATGAGGACGCATTTGAGCTAATAGACCCTGCGTCTCGCGCACTTGGTTTAGTTTGATCGCTGCTTAAGATCCCATCCAGTGATGCGCCGCTGGGGATATACTCGTCGAAGAGATTGTCAAAATCGTCCACAAGTCGGTCTAGAAGAGATATGTGCTGCATGGGGTCCCCTTCCATTGTCAGAATTTCGGCGAAGGCCGCAGTCAGGGCACCTCGATCGCCGTCGTTCCCAGACGCATCGAGCAAGTCGGCCAGCAACCGCACCAGGGACGCCAGCGCACGCCGGTTCTGCGGACTGATCTCCGTGAGAAATTTGCGAAAATATTCCTCAAAGTCGCGAGGGAACATGGTATCAAATTGGCTCTGAATGAGTTTCAAAGCACCGGATTCTATCACCGGGCCCATGTGTTCCTTCCATGCATTTGCCATAAACGTTTCGAACGCGACAAATAATGTGTCAACAGGCACTTCAGCTGCAGCTTGGATCTTCCCGGGGTCTTCCAAAAGTACATTGTACAACTCATTGACTGACGACCTGTCGACATTCTCCCTTCCACGCAGACTTCGTCCGACAATATTGCCGCTGCGAGACTGAAGTGCAAGGGCGTAGGCCGTAAATGTTTGTTCCAACAAACTGAACGGACTATCTGGTCCCTTGGAAGGAGCTGTACCAACCACGGAAATTTTGCTGGGGGTTTCTTCCTTTCCAGGGAACATCGAGGGTAGTGTATTGGATCGAGTGAGATTGACTCTTGGAGGCGGCATTTTCGGGAATTCACCAAGCAGAGTAGCAGAACTGGGGCCTTTCGAGCCTGTAGTCCCACTGTCGTTGGCGTCTTTCGACTGTCCCCCACCTAGGAGACTGGAGAGGAGCTTGGTGGGCGAAGGAGGACGAAATCCGCGAGGCGCCTTGAATTGAGTGATGAGATGACCAGCGAGGTAGCGAAGAATATCAAAATTCGAGTGGATTATAGACTCCGTCATCGTCCGGTTTCGAGGACCATGCAGAGGCAGAAGGACATTCAAGACTGTACTCCGTCAACGCTACAGGCCATCTGTTTGATAGAGGACGAGAACTTACGGCGTTTGGAAAGCACAGGAACAAAGCTATCCACTGTAACAATATCCGAGGAGGCAACCCCGACAATGGAGTCTATGTCGACACGATATTGGTCCTCACTTGCAGAGGAAACCGAGATGACCACCTCCAAATCTGAAGTGTTCAATGCCTTGCTGGATATCGCCCTCGGAGTGTCAAAGACAATTCGAATCTTGGACAAGCCGCTCCGACCCAAGACATTGTCCGTTTCTTCTTCGAGAACACAGGCCAGAATGCCTATGTTCCCGACGGTCCCCGTGGGGCTCCTCAGGGTCCATTTACCGGTCTCCCGCTCGCTCTCAGAAAACCTGCCTTCAATCTTCGCCTTTACCACTTCTTCGATAAGCCGACTCGCCCGCCCCTCATACATCCCAGTTAATTCCAAAGCAAACAGGTCCACTGTGGTATTCTGATTTGGTCTTGCTTTGGCCGAGGTAGGAGCGAGGAAGAGTATTCTCCCGCACGTCGACTGCATTGAGCGTACGGTTTGCAGGTCGTATACTTGCGCAACCTTGATCTCACCTGAGCTTTGCAGGGCAGAGAGGCCACCGGGTCCTGAGGCGGCGCCATCGAGATCTGCAAGTAAACCGCGTGCAGTTGTTCTGCTTCCTAGCGCTTTCGCTAGGAGAACAAGGCAGTTCTTGTAAATCAACATGATGCCCGGATTTTGGTTCGGAGATGAAGGATCGATGTGGTATGGAGGTGATAACTCGTTGAAGTCGACGGCTGTGATCAAGCGGCCGACCGGCAGTATTGTTGCCGGCCAACCATCCACCAGCTCTTTTAATCGTCGGAAGCTCTGGTCGTGATTCGTGGACGAGGGATCGTCGAGTGAGCATATATCCTTGATGATATCACGAGCCTTCAGGAGGGGCCTGACGGCGGGGTGGATCAGGGGAAGACTGCTGGTCATGGTGTCAATCAGAAGGCTGTAGCGAGGCAGGCGCTGAACAGGCTCCATCAGCAACGAACGCAGTCGTTGCTCTCCGGCCTCAACAACTCTCTTGGAGAAGCTCGAGTTCTTATCCCTCATAAATGAGTTGAGTGTCTGTGTAAAGCCTGTGTGAGCTCGCATATAGTCCGCGTAGGGTTGTGAGAACTGCGGAAACCATTCGACAAGCGCATTCGCAAATGCGACAGCCCCAATCGGATCCTTTCCTTCCCTTGACGGCGTCCTATGCGACATGGACGACGGAAGCTCGGTGTCGTCTCCAATATCGGCGATCGCATCCCTTTCCGTTTCCTCCAGGACATTGCGGATCACTTCCAAAAACCCCAGGTTGACGTCGAGTATCTCATTGAGACAGGGAGGGAAAAGGGCGGCCAGAGAGGCTTCGTCTGGACTGGTGCTGGACGCTCCTCTACCTTGGGCCTTCAATCGGAATTCTTCGGCTACCTCGCGCACAAGATTGTACAACTTGCTCACATACCGCTCTTCCGTGTCAACAAGCTCGCACATAGTCAGACGCAGAGACTCCTTCTGACTTCTGGTGAAGAGCCTAGATTTGCTGAGATTGGTCGGTTGGGAGGGCGCTCGTTTCAGTCTTGATGTCGGTAGGAACATCGGCGCTCCGAGTGCTCGGATGAGACCAGAATATTGACCATATTGTAGATCAGGGTTGTCCTCTATCTCCAAAGCTTGGTCGATACCGTCATCCTCCGGCCTTTGAGGGGGCTGTATGGTTCCCGCAGGGAACACTACATCAATATCCACCCACGGAACTTTGCGCTCCTGAAAGGCACCGCGAATGTCGCGTATAAGGTCAAACGATTGTTCTATCTTGGTCATCCGATTCGCAAGATCCGCGGCATG